AGAGCTTTAGCTATGGATATCGCTGAGAGACTTGCAAGAATTCCACAAATCATACAATCGTTGAAAGACGAGAAGCTAGAACTTGAGCAAGGGCTAGCTTTTTACAAGGAGGCTGGTTTTACTTCTGATGCCATAGAGGAATCAAAGCAATGGGCCTCGGAACATATTTGTAGACTAGAAGAGCGAATTAAGAAACTCCTAATTGAACAACAAGAACCCATTGTGCGTGCAATTATGTAAGGTGATCGGAGCGACTATACGAGCCCATTAACTCTTTCTGTAAGACGTCAATAAGTAAGTCTTTAACACGAAGTGTCTTGATGTGTAAAATTCTTTGTTATGCCTAATGTTGCTTTATATATTTTACTATCATTGTCACGTTGTTTTTAGTACTCCCATGTAAATATATTATAATATTGAATAACTAAGTATTTGAATTCATTATAATGCTTATGCAATAAATTTATTATTGCATAATCTAGATATAATTAATATTTTATTTTGTAGAGGTGAGGTTAAACTAGAAAAGTAAAAATTATAAACAAAATGATATGTAAAAGTTAAAATTCATTAAAATTTGAACGAGAAATATATTTTTGTACATTTAACTCCAATCATTTTTTAAAGTTAACTATTTTATGTGATATCCAGAAAATTAAGGACTGCTTGGTTTGTATTACAATTTTGAGTTTTAAATTCATTTTCACTTTTTGGTTTTAAGGGTTTATTTTAATATTGTTAAAAATGCGTTTGATCGATATGTAAAAGTTAAAATTCATTAAAATTTGAACGAGAAATATATTTTTGTACATTTAACTCCAATCATTTTTTAAAGTTAACTATTTTATGTGATATCCAGAAAATTAAGGACTGCTTGGTTTGTATTACAATTTTGAGTTTTAAATTCATTTTCACTTTTTGGTTTTAAGGGTTTATTTTAATATTGTTAAAAATGCGTTTGATTTATCATATTGAAAAATTATTTCTCAAAACAGATAATTACAAAGCATATTTGTTTGAAATTTTGAAAAATTATTTTATAACATCTTATTTCATGAAATTTGATTATTTGGTAAAAATAAAAATAAAAATTATCCTAATATATTATAAAGTAATATGTACATTTTAAAGTTGATGAATCTTAGAATTTTTTCATGCCACAAAAGTAAAATAAAAATAAATAATAAATTGATTTCAAAATATAAGAAATAAAAAAATTACTAATATGGATGTAGAATATTTTTATCCGTATTCGTTTAAATATTTTTTAGATTAAATAATCATCAAGAACTTGAACTATTTTTATTTTTTTCTAGTTTATAATTTTTTTTTAGATTTTTTATTTGTTGTTTTTTAGAATTCTGTATTTATTTCAAAAAAAATTATTTATTTTTATTTTTTTAAATTTATCGATCTTATTTGTCGAATTTATTTTTCTTGAATTTTTTATTTTAAATTTTTATTTGTTAGACTTTTATATTTTTATTTTTTAAACTTTTAATTTTTAAAATTTGTTTAAATAAATTTTATTTAATCACTTATTTTCTACATGTTTGAGTGTTTTCAGAATTTTTATTGAAAACGTAAAAAAATGAATTCTAAGATTTATGTTATATGTTAACCATATTTTCGAAAATGCATTTTCAAAATACCAAATTAAACACGTTTTCAATATTTTATAAAATTAAAAACTGAAAATAACTCAAAAATAGCAAACCAAACACAGAACGACATGAACGCTGGTGCTAAGTTTTAAAAGTTTAAAACATTAGTATTGTATTTGAAAAGAACAGTGATTGGCATTCAAAAGGGATTGAGATCCTTTCCAGTTATTTTTCTTCCTTTTATAGTTCATTTAAACATTATTGCATGTTTGGTGCAATTGACTGAATGGTAATAGATAGAATTTAAGTAAAAAGAAGTTAAAACATTATTCGCTATACTATCTAATATGAGCTAACACTTAACCTAGGAATGTTACTTTGAATCAGATAATGAATTAAGATAACTTTCACTCCTATGAAGAAGAAGGTAAGTGACAATATATAATTTGTAGAAGTAGTGGTGGAATCTGTTCAAAATTCTCTTATCTTGATTGTTAATGTATATCGAGGGGCGATT